TAAATGTTATCTGAGTTTGCTGTTTATTTAAAAGGAAGTGCTGATGTTGGCACTTGTTCTCTGTGTGTGCTGCCAATTTTGTAGTTGAAGGGATTAGACAGAAAACAAATTAATAAAGTCTCATTTTTCTGTGCTGAAACAACTGGGACTATCCCAAAACAAGTTAAAGTGGATCCTGGAAAAATCAATCTTTCTTATAGTCTATAGTGCACTGAGCAATTAATAGAACAGTTGACAAAACATAAAGTTGATAGTATTAAAGACAGTTTATCAGCTCAGTGACTGTACAAGATTTTCCACATCTCCATTTATAAGGCACTGGAAGAAACATGGCTAATATCATCTCACAGAAAATCCTTGAATTCAGAGCTCCACATTCAATAGTCATTCTGGCACGTGATTCTTGTTCCAATTAACATGCTTCTGCATCAAATCTAGACTCTCTAGCATGTCCTGCTGCATGAGTTTAAGCTATCATGAGCTACAACAACACTCTCCAGTAACATCCATCCCAAACATATTCTGCAGGACCGTATGCAAATGCTCGACACAGCCATGCTAGCTCTAGCCAGGCTACACAAAAGAGATGCTGCAAGTGAAGATGGCAATTAGAATGATATATCACAGCAGAGTGGCTTAGTCTGCTGTTGAAGGTCAATGCAAGCAAGAAATCATTACTTCTCATTGGTGCTATGTAAGCTAGTTTGGCAAACAGGTTTCATATGGGTTCAGCCCAAGACAGCTGTTCAAATCCTGCCTGAAAGTGTGATTTGTCCACTGTCAAAAAAGGAACGTGGGGAGGAACTGCTAAAGTTATGTGAGCAACATGTCCCCTTCTCTTTTTTCAGGCTTGTCACTGAAGTTTGCGCTATAGATGACACCTTACAGACCTTAAAGCTATGTCTTCAAGAAGCCCATGATACTCTGCAGATGCTGATCCTCAACAAAGCAAAGCTGGAACATGAGATTTCTGTGAAGGCAAACTCCTCCTTTGTTGACAAGAAGTGTACAGACACTTGCAAAGTCTTCCCCAGCACCCCGTGGCTCGTTGGCTACACTTGAATCGTAGCCTTTGATATCTTAGTACATGATATAAAAGTTGCAAAGGTTGCAAGTGTTTCCTGAGGGAAATAACTATTCTGTTTTCTCAACCAATGAGGTCCTATAGAAACAAACTAACGAAAATGAATTCTCAGCTGTAGCTGCTCCTAAGTCAGATAGGATTAGTAGACTTACTCTAACAGAATCAGATCATACTAAAATAACCAAGACAAATATTGCAAGACAGATGCGAGTTACTAGCCAGAGAAAACGTTAGACTGAGACGCCGTACTCCCCAAAAGAATTAGTACAATACAGGATTTAACTGGTCAGGATAATGTGCCATCTATGTTTCAGTCCTTGTCTGGAAAAGTTCAGTTTAAATGCTTACCACAACCTTACACTCTCCTCCTGTATAGCAAAACTAGACTTGGTGTTTGGAATTAGAGGAGGCTGAACAAACTCGATTCACAGAAGCTGAAGGGCAATTTCAGTGCAACCACTTCAGCTACAAACGTATCCTGTGTTCACTGAGAGGGGAGTATTTCCATCTCTGCCTCTTTTTTTTTTTTTTTTTTAATTTGATTTTTCATATAATTTGATTTTAATTTGATTTTTTTTTCATAGAATTAGATATGAAGAAAATTTGTCTATTAATATGAACTACTTGTGACTGATGTGATATTTGCCTAAGTCTGAAAGGTCTTTCCTATTTAGAAATATATACTATCTATCATTAGATCTCAAACAACTTCATGAGCAAAGACAGTACCATTGCTCTGTTGAGACTAATGAGAAAGTTAAGACAAAGCAGGAACGGAACAAGGGTACAGGAACATGATGTGCTTAAAGTGTGCTGAAATTGTCCTTCAGTCTGTGTCAAGACTGCTCGGCTTTCTAGTTCTCCACTCTGCACAGTGGAGAGGAAAAGGATGGAATGGGCTTTGAGATCTGACTTTTCTGGATGACAGCTGAAACACATTAACAGCGCAGTAATCCAAGTAAAGGATTTGAGGAAGAACTCGGTTTAAGTAATGCTAAAGCAGCCTGGCTGTTTCAGACAAAATGGAGTAATGAAGTTTTACTGTTATTTGGGTTTCTTCCTGGATTTACTCAGACTCATTTACAGAGTAACCGACAAACTATAATTCTAATAACTGCGCCGTTTCCTGCTACCTCGGGCTACTCTCCACAGGGCAGCTCTAGGAACACGCAAAACGCATTTTATGCTGGACCAAAGCCAAGTCCGAAACAATGCTAGATTTGAAAGTCTCCTGAATAAACTGGCTCTGTTCCTCACCCTTTGTTTTGTGTGGGTGGTGGCTTAAGCTACCAACAAAAGCACCGTCACTGGGGCACAGCGGGCTGAGCGGTGCTGGTACTTCCTTGCGAGTTAACCTCCCTTCCACTGAGCGTGGCTGTGCCTGAGCCATCCGACACTCAGCTTCTCTGCTTCGGTTAAGGGAGTCGTATCTCCTGGCTATTGTGTCAAACCATTTACATAGTGATACGTTTCTAAAGATTGAAAGTAATGGGAAACCATTTTGGAACATAGGATTGGGAAGTGATATCCAGGCCCACTTCTGATACTCCTTAAACCCATCTCACATTGACAATGCTGTATCTTGATTTTCTAAATGAGGGTAGTGCCATAGTCATGTAGCACACGACTATGGGGAGGGCAGGCTGCTCCATCCAGCAAGCTAATGCCAAATGGTGACTTTGGGGGAGGAATTTCTCTGAATATAGGGAAAGTTTCAGAAATAATTTGGGTTTGTATTGCAATATATGACTGCAGAGCAGTTCAATGGGTCCTGGTGGTGTGATTCTGGAGGTAGGAGGAGCTCTGTTACTCAAGACTTCACTGGTAATCTGGTTTGAATTAACAGTCATACCTCGCTGTTTCTTACTCAGAAAGACTTCTCAGTCTTCTATCACAGAACCCTCCTTGGGACATGACTTTAGGTGGGAGGAGTGAGGAATCTCGCTGTTTTGTTTCCCAGCAGGGAAGACTGTTACCACTGGTAACGTTTTCCTCCCTCTCCATGCCTTTGTATGGAGGCACAGGAGATTTTATCGCTTGCTTCTGTTACTACCAAACTGTAGAATAAGGCACTTGATTTGCATTTCATATACTATTTTTACAATGTATGAAGAATAACATTTGTGTTGAGCTGTTAAATATTGACAATAGTCCCACCCTATCTATCAAATACTGACAGCTGACCAAGCAAAGGAGTAAAAATTGTTTGGAAATTTGGATCTTCTTGAAGCCTTTAAATATATTTCTAGAACTTGGAGGCTTTCCCAGTTCACACAGCTACTCTAACAGCTAGAAATAGTTTCTCCCTTCCCTATGCCAAGAACTCAATTAAGAAATATATAGCAGAAGGGAGGTGCTTCTAAGAGAGTTGAATTCTTTTAACAGTTCTTAACAGAGAAGAAAAACAACAAAAAAAAATCTTTTTCTGAAAACAATCAACATCAGTGAAAAGTCAGCCTGAATCAAAGCCCTGAATTTGAAACTTCAGGGGCTTTGCAATAGAGATGGTGGGGCTGAACAACAGTTGTGAACATCAAAAATTCCAGCTCCTTCCTGACTGTGCCTTTGTTTGGCAATGTTCTCTCCAAGACCTCGGCTCAGCTTTTGGGTGGAGTACTCACTTGGTACATTGTCAGTGCAAACAACACTGAACTTGTTTGAACGCAGTGCCAACTCCTACTAAGAGTGACTGCCTAAACCCATGGATCTATAACAGTTAGTACTGCTCTTTGAGAGCATCATTTTTCATGAGAACAGCAATTCCCTGCAATTCAGCTACCATTAGCAAGAATAAATTTTGACTGAGTACTGCAAAAATAACAACACTGTACACAGATCATCATCTTCCCTAACTATAGCTCACCAGAAGATACTAAGTATATTATTCTAGTGGAAAAAAACTCAGTGAATCAAGTGCTCTTGTCTTTCATTAGTGGTATCCATACATGCAGCACATTTCAGTTTGCTGATAGTGTACATCCTCTTTTAAAAAGTAAATAGCTTTCTTCAGGCTATCAAAAAGGAGGAGACTTAGGCTGTAAACTTATATAAATCCAAAAAGGCTAGAAAACAGTCATCATTTGCTTCTTAGAAATAAAGGTAAATGGATAAGGCAGAAAACCTAGATTGTAGTCTTGTTCTGCCACTGACTTACTGCATAAATGAATTTACACTCAGCCTCCAGAACGCATTTAGTCTCAGTTGTGATGGGAATACATCAAAGGAAACCCGTTTCTAACAATCATAAAGATACTCACCCAGATAAACCTGAGAATCTCTTAAAAAAAAACCCTCAGAATAAACATTCATTCAGCTTTTTTTGCCATAGGTGTCTCTTCTGATAAACTAGATCATTAATTATTGTACTCACATGCAGCCACAGACATCAAGAAGCCAGATCTACTGTATTTCCATGTATAAAACCAGAAATTTAATGCACAGTTCCACATTACTTGGAAGATAAAATCTGTTTTATAGCAAATAGACTAGCACAGAGAAGACCAAAACCTGTCCCTGCCTGTTTCAAACAATGAGATAGTTTTAGTTCCAGACAAGCTATTTCCTAATATTATCTAAACTATAGCTCATAAACTTTTATGGACTCAACCTCCAAATAGAGTAGGAAAACAACAGATCTAAGTATCTTCACTAACAATAATCCCAGTTCAGAGCCACAAGATTACCGATTATAGTGAAGGTAGCTTATTTTACCCAGATCTAATAGTAGTTTATTCCTCCTTTTTATTTAAAAATCACAGTAAGGAAGCAGAATTTGTCATGTACAGATCAAATGCCTCGTCACACAGGATTTACAGATGGTGTCCCCAGTCAATATATGCAATGGTGCTCACATGACAAGTCTTCTCAGTATAGCTGCTCACCTGGGTAAGACCTGGCATGTCTTTTGCACAGGATATTAAAGTGTAAATAACAGGACATAAGGAATATTAACTACGGATGCAGGAGAGTGCTGAGTTTGGGAATTTGCATTTAAATACCACTACAGTTTGGTAATACTTTTAAATAACATTACTGTATTTTAATCTTATTAAAGAGTAGCATGAGAGGCTCCTCTCAACACTGGCTTCTCCTCTTCCTGCCTAGCAGTGCCTTTTTAACATTTCCATTTTACCAAAATTCAAGGAATGTCCAGTGCTGTATTAACTGAAGGCACATGCAGGTCCACAGATGTGATAAGAAATCCCAAATCAAATAAAGAATATACGCCAACATTTTGGTAACTACTGTCTTGGGTAAGGTTATGCACTGACTTAGACCTCTGCAATAAAAAAACCCCAACCAATAACAAATAAATAACGTTTTACTATGCAATAAAGAATTTAAATTTATAGAGGATGTAAAACAGCAAATCTTTCTTCCAATGCAAATTGCTTTGAAGTATCAAACAATGGTAGACATTTCAGAATCACTGAGTTATGATCCCCCATCATGTAAGAACATGCTTGCTCTCTTCAAGTCATAAAATAACCACTGGCTCCTCATTATGTGCATTACCAGTTCAGATCTGTGCTCTGGCCTCAGGCCTGCTGAAAACCATGCTATAAACCAAACCTTCTATTAAAACTTAGTCAGGAGAATAAGGTACAGGTCAGTTTGGTCTAAGTATTATTTGATGACGGAAAGACCCTCATAACTATGTGGACTTTATAGCTCTAGTTATTTTTCAACTGTAATCTGTAAATGTTTATCCAGTGTTCCTATGATGTCCTTTGATCTCTTACATTTTTATGTTTAAAAACACAGATAACATTCCTGTATCCATATTAGACAAATAAGTAGGAGACAAAACAGTGGTTTGAACTTCTGTTTGTATTTTCTCTTAGTATTTATCAACACCAAAGCAGTCCTTCATTGGTTGCCAACGCAAAGAAATTCAAATACCCATGCTGATCTGGTGTATTTAATAGAAGACAGACCTATGCTATATAAATGAGATTCATGATCAGTTGTTTGTGGC